AAGATAAAACATTTGCTCTCAGAGGTAACCACCATCATGCAGGGAAATAAATGTGTATGTGTACACACATAAACACCTGTGTCTATATATTCATAGCCATAAAGTAGCCGTAAAATATACAGGCTGAGTATCCCTTATCTGAAATGCTTGGGCCCAGAAATATTTTGGATTTCTTTTTTTCCCCAGATTTTGGAACATTTGGATATATGTAATGAGGTATCTTGAAGATAAGCTCCAAGTGTACACATGAAATTCATTTGTTTCAATATGCATCTTATACATATCATCTGAAGGCTTTTTACGCAATATTTTTAATACTTTCATGCATAAAACAAAGTTTTAACTGTGTTTTGACTGTAACTCATCACATGAGGTCAGATATGTAATTTTCTACTGGTAGCGCCATGACAGTGGGTCAAACAGTTTCAAATTTTGGAGGAGTCTGGATTTCAGATTAGGAATGTTCAACCTATATTTCAAATAAATAATACTCACTTTGTTTTATGTTTTTTATGAATGCTGATCTTCCTTCAACAAGATTCCATGTTCTGCAAAACAGGAAGCTCACTCATGGCATGATTATCAATTAACTTTCACTGAGTGTAAAAGAGCAAGCATAATGAAGACTTACTCAAACGATAATATTTGCTAAATATGGGCTACTTAAAGGAACTGCCATCTTTTGTATAGCAGCATCATGAAATATTTATCAAGCAAGGTTAAAGCGCCTTCTGTTCCCTTATTCCTTTAATATGCTGAGTCAATTTGTAGCTATTGTATTTTCAAAAGATTTCCCCTCCTAAAACATTTCTCTTGAGCAGTGGCTCTCAACCCTCCTAATGCTGTGATGTATGTATTTTAATTATTACAAAGGGGTCGCGACCCACAGGTTGAGAACCGATGTTCTTGAGGCTCACTCTCCTCTTGACTTGATAGCTTCCAATGACTGCGTGTGAGGGCATGTTGAATACAGAGCTTGTCGCTTTTATCCTACCATTATGAAAATGCTGACTGTCTTTCTACCTTTCCCTGTTTCGCAGTATCTTTAAACAGATGAAAGCTGTGAAACAATACAGAAATAGTACCTAACTATTACAGTAAAAGATATGCCTTAATAAAGGTTCTCTTGAGTGTTAATGACTTACCTTAATGTCTTATCTGTACCAACAGACAGGGCCAACTTGCCAGATGGATGAATAGAAAGGAAGGTCACATGTCCTCTAAAATGAAACCAACAGTTAGCCCCCAACTTGATCAGCACATCCAGAACATCAATGGGAAGGGGCAGGACTCACTTGTGAGCTTTAATTGACTTGAGGCATTCCCATTTCTTTGCATCCCAGACACAGATGAGTCCGTCTTCTGCTCCACTGATTAAGTGTCTGTTGCCATAGAATTTCAAGCATGTTATTGTACCTATGGAAAAATCAAGACAGACTGTTTTCCGAGTTTTTTCAGTTATAAATATACACTTGTACTAATCAGTTCACTTTCTTGCTTTCCCTCTTCAAAATTATAAAATTTGAGCAGAAGTCAAACAAAACTAGCCAGCTAAAGTGGGAAACAAACCAAGATGACTTCTACTTTTTAAACAGTGAATTAGCCAACCAAACAGCCATGATCCAATAATTATGACCACAAAGCTGCTTTGATTAAATTTCTATACAGTTATCATTCATTGTCAAAAGAATTTATTAGAAGAATTAGATAAAATGTTATGCTCTTCAACTATGCTCTCTGGACTCTCCTTTCTTATGGTTAACAAACTTTCCTACTGTGTTTCCCCGAAAATAAGACCTACCCCCAAAATAATCCCTAGCAAGATTTCTATGCATTTGTTAAATATAAACCCTACCCCAATAATAAGACCTAGTGATCAGCGTGGTTATGCAGCGTAGCCACTCCCTGCATTTCGGCACAGAGTAGTAAAGAAGACTGGAATACCTTTTATTTGCCACAGCTCCTTTCTCCCAGCCGTTCACACTTGCACAGGTGCGTGTGTGGTAACTGCCTATTGTGCAGGCGCGAACGGCTAGGGGAAAGGATTTCACTCATCACTAGCACCAGCCCCACCAACCTCTGTCAGGTTCCAGAAGAAGATGACTTAACTGTATTTGAATAAATGTAGACTGTTGTATTATACTTAACAAAAATATGACAGCCCCTGAAAATAAGCCCTAGCGTGTCTTCTTGAGAAAAAATAAATATAAGACAGTGTCTCATTTTCGGGGAAACACGGTACATCTTTTTGACTTTCTCATGAAACATCCCACTTCCCTTTACCAACACTGAAGCTTAGATCTCTGATGAATTTCCTCTATAGCTCCAGGGTGAGCTCTCTTAGCTCTCCAAAGCAGTCCCTACCATTACACCTTTACCCCCTTTACAAGTAAAATTCCCTATTCCTTTGGTATTTGTGTCACCCAGCTTCACCGCCCTATGAGTCAGGGGCCAGCAAACTACTGACTACTGGTCAAATCTGGCTGGTGTCTTACTTTTAGAAATATAATTTCATTGGAAAACAGCCACCAGAAATGTTTATGGCTGCTTTTGCACCACAAAGACAGAGCTGAATAATTATAACAGAGACTATATAGCCCACAAAATCTAAATATACACTATCTGGTCCTTTACAGATTATGAGTGTGAACCTCTGAGTTGTTTTCCATCTATACACAGCTTGGTCAATCTTTTAAACTAATCTTTACATTGAAAGTACCAGAGATCTTTAATGAAGTATTTTACACACAACAAAAGTACTAATAATGTGTGGGCTTAAATACCACCTTCTTCTCAAAGTGGAAGCCATTAGCCACCTTTGCTCACGTTTTCCTCTCCCTATAATCTTCTTACTCTGGAAAGCATGCTTTCCCACATCTGCTTCCTAGAAAAAGAGTTTATTACCAACTGTCAGAAACACAGGACACAAGGAATGGAGGAAACCAAGAACCCTACTTCACTGAAACACCATCTAAACCCCTCCTACTAAGTCCTTCTCTTATTATTCAACACTGATACAAATATAACAGGTTTGAACAGATCAGATTTCATTTCTTTCTTCCAAGCCAAGAGAATTCTTGTATGAACTGGAATTGAGGG